AATCCTTCACGCTAGCAAACCCCATAGTTAGCAAACCTGCCCCGCGACAGGTTAAGGAAAAAATGTCAAAAACGTGTTTTTGCAAAAACTTCCAATAATTCCCGAAATAAAGCCCCGGGAAAAGTTTGAAGTACACTACTGGAAAGACAGCGTCAATGTAGATAAAAATTTTGGTATCCACTTTTTCGATTAAATGAACAATAAGCGAACCACGGCCGAATTTCGCTTTTTGGCCCATTTTTCTCGAAGTTGGGGAATTTTTTGAAAAATCCCATTGAAGCCAAATTTCAGTTGTGAATTTATTTCCGAAAAAATCTGCCCACTTTTGCGTACGAATGAAGTTGTAAAGAAGAAATTCGGGGAAAACGATTTTTGGATTTTTGCCTCAAAAAAATTCCCAGTCCAAAACCCGTAAAATTGCTTGAATTTTTTAATTTAATTTTTTTCTGCTGAAACTAAGCTCCCAATCGAAAAACGTTACTCTTGATAAAAGATGGGAAATCCTCCGCGCTAGCAAACCCCATAGTTGGCAATCCTGCCCCGCCACAGGTTAAGGAAAAAACGTCAAAAACGTGTTTTTGCAAAAACCTTCAATAACTCCCAAAGTAAAGCCGATGGCAAAGTGTGAGGCCCACCACAGGGTAGGGGGCGTCAATGCACATAAAAACGTTGCTACCCACTTTTTCGCTGAAATCAACGCTAAGCGAACCACGGCCGAAAAACCCGCTGGGCGCTCCCGCGCCCGCCGCCCTTCAATGGCGCAGCATTCGGGCGCCCGACCTCTCCGCTATCGGCCGCCCATCCAAACTGGGTTAAACCCGATAAAGATTGCGGCAATCGGGCAAACAACTCGCTCATCTTGTGCATCAGCGGCCAGCGCCAAGGCCGCCCAACTGTGTCAGCGCGCCTGGGGCGCCCCCGGGGCGCAAACACTCACCATAGCCGTCCAGGATGTTGGTCAGCTCGGTGCTGGGCCGCCCCGTGAACTCCTCCTTCCGGAACGCGTCCCTGATCGTCTTGTAGTCGCTCAGAACGATGATCAGCTGCGAGCCCAACCGGGCGGAGATCAGCGAGCCGTACTTGTGGGTCAGATCGCGGTAGAAGAGGTGCAGGTCGCCCTTGATGCGCAGCAGCGACCCGAACACTGGCACCCCCCAGGGGCCGGGCGGCAGCTGGCGGCTCTCCAGCCAGTGCTGGAGG